TTTAACCAGGTCCCTCTGGCTGCTGGGTTGAGAACAGGCAAAGAAGGAAAAGGGTGGAAGCAGAGAGAGCAGTTAGGAGGCTAATGTGATAATCAGGGTGAAAGATGGTGATGTGGCCTGGCCTGCATGACAGCAGCAGAGCGGAGCAACACAGTCAGATTCTAAATAAATACTGGAGGTGGAGTCAACAGGAATCGCTGACGGGTTGGATGTGGGGTGTGAGAGAAAGAAGTCAGAGTGCCACAAAGGTTTTTGGCAACTAAAAGGATGAGATTGGGAAAATTGCAGGAGAAGCAGGCCTGGGAGCCCCCAGGAGTTGAGTTTTAAAGGTGTGAGGTGTTAGAGGCTCTTAGACACACAAGTTGGGATGCTGAGAAAGCAGGCATATATATCAGTGAGGGCCTGAGGGGCAAAGGGGTAGGCTGGAGCCATCAGTGTATAGATGATGTGGGCTGGAGCCATCAGTATGTAGATGATGTGGGCTAGAGCCATCAGCGTATAAAGGATGAGGGCTGGAGCCAGCAGTGTATAGAGGATGTGGGCTGGGGCCATCAGTGTATAGATGATGTGAGCTGGAGCCAGCACTGTATAGATGACATGGGCTACAGGCATCAGTGTATAGAGGATGTGGGCTAGAGCCATCAGTACACAGATGATGTGACCTGGAGCCATCAGTGTACAGAGGATGTGGGCTGGAGCCAGCAGTGTATAGATGACATGGGCCACAGACATCAGTGTATAGAGGATGTGGGCTAGAGCCATCAGTACATAGACGATGTGAGCTGGAGCCATCAGTATATAGATGATGTGGGCTGGAGCCATCAGTATATAGATGATGTGAGCTGGAGCCATCAGTGTACAGAGGATGTGGGCTGGAGCCATCAGTATATAGAGGATGTGGGCTGGAGCCATCAGTATATAGATGATGTGGGCTAGAGCCATCAGTATATAGATGATGTGGGCTGGAGCCATCAGTATATAGATGACGTGGGCTGGAGCCATCAGTGAGTAGAGGATGTGGGCTGGAGCCAGCAGTATACAGATGACCTATTTAAAGCCACGAGACTGGCTGATCTCCTCAAAGCAGGGCAGAGAAGAGGTTTGACTCTTCAGCTCTCCACCATTTAGAGGTCCTAAAGAGGCGGGAATTCAGCAAAGGATCCTAAAGAGGCCAAAGAAGTAAGAGCAAACGGTGTCCTGAACACCGAGGGAACTGGGGGCTGAGAACGGACCCCTGGATTCAGCAAAGTAGAGGTCCCCGAGACCATGACAGAGCAGTTCCAGGGGACGGTGTAGGCAAAGCCACAGAGGTTGAGTGGGTTCAAGAGAAGCCAAGAGTTGTGGAACTGGAGAGCCCGGGAGCAGACAGCTCTTTTGAAGAGTCTCTGCTGGAGAGAGAAGGAAAGGAACGAAGTGGTGCCTGGAAGGGAAATGCAGCTGAGAGAGTTTCTGGCAATGGAAGAAGTAATAGCAGGTGAGTATTGTGATGGGCAGGACCCAGCGGGAGGGAACTGGAGCAGGAGAGAGAGAGGAAATGGCTAGTGAGGTGTCCTTGCAGAGATGGGGCAGGACGACAAGCGGACAAAAGGAGGGGTTGGCCAGAGGGAGGTGCATCGACCTTTGTCCACCAGCCCAGGAGACAACGTCAAGCCTCCGCCAGGTGCAGGGAGACGTGTGTCCCAAGTCATAGACGGGTTACCCCAAACCGGTAGTCCCTTTGGGGAGCTCCTGGTCCCCAATCCCATCCCGCAGCCGGGGAACCCCTGCGTTATGCTTCCAGGGCCCCCTGAATCTACTCCAGCGCTGACAGCCAGAGCGGCGGCCCTTACAGGGCTGCTGGAGGCCCCCAACCGCAGCAAGGGGGGAGCGTTGGAAGCCATGGGGCGGGAGCTGGCATCACGAGGGACAAGAGGTCGACAGACCTCACGTGAGAGGGTCCAGCAGGCCCTGGCTCCGAAGGGTGAGCTGTGGTGGGCAGGAGACCCCAGATGGGCTCCCTGGGACCCCGGCAGGGGGCGGGGCCCGGGGGAGCTGCTTAGGCCGTGAGGGTGGAGCCTTCATGAATGTGTCACATTGTAAACGTCCTTACAGAGAGGCCCCAGGGAGCTCCCTTGTCCCTTCCACCAGGTGAGGACACAGCGAGAAGCCTGTAACCTGAAACACAGCCCTGTTGACCATGCTGGTAGCCTGATCTCAGAAATCCAGCCTCTAGAACTGGGAGCGAGAAATTTCCGTTGTTTATAAGCCCCCCAGTCTGCAGGATTCTGATACAGCAGCTCGAACGGACTAAGACAGACCGACACCCGCTCTCATCCTGGGTCCCCCTCAGTCGAACAGAAGCCCCATCCTTCCTGTTTACGCTCCCACTCATGACTTGGTCTTTTTACTGCTTTATCATTTAATGATTTCTTTACACCTCTTTTCAAATGCACCAAAATGTCCGATCTCTCCACGTGCAAGTATTATTAGAAATTAGTCGGAATACACCTAACTGTTTTCCTCGCCAAGTCAACGTACGAACATGCAACCTTAAATAGGAAAAAATTCTAGAGTCACAAAGAAAAATAAAAGTGTATTTCTTGCTAAGTCATGCTTGAACTATGCAAGATTACTAAGAAATCTAACGTTAAGCTAAACGAGGGCGGACAGGAACCTTGTGTGAGCGTTTCAAAAGCAGAATTCTCCCGCTCTGGACAATCAATGGACTCAGGCCAACTGGAGGCGTGTTCGCCTGTCTTGGGGAGGGAAAGGAAAGAACCTTCCACTGCTTTTAAGTGGTCATGGGTCTCCGGGGCACCGATACACCCCCATTGGCTCGGGACTGAAATTCTAGTCCAAGATTCCTTCAGCAAGACCCAGGGATCTTGGAAGAAATGAAAACGAAGCAATGAAAGGCAAAATTAGAAATATTTGTCCCATCTGTCATCTCCTCTTCTCATCTCAACCCCCCCATCCAATCCTAGGAGGACAAAAGAACATTCTATTTCTGTCTCCGTGAAAGTTGCAACCCCAAAGCAAAACCTCAGTGTTTCGCTTTCTTTCTTTTTCACTTGTTGCTAAACTCACTGATCTGGTTAAACCCGAAGACAAAAATCTTGGAGGTATTTTAGGTTTTTAAATGAATGAATCCTGATTAATTCTAGGAAGATACAGTCAAATCGATTCCATTTCAGACAAGCATTCTAATGCAAAGCTTGGGAAAAAATGTTATTTTTTAAATTTAAAAAGACACCATACACCCTTGAAAATATTTTAAATGACTTTCCCATGACATCAAGTTTGAGACGAGTCTTCGTTTTACTCAGCAAACGTCTTCTGCCCGCGTGGGCCTGGGGAGGATTCTGGAGTATGAAACCAGTGAGCAGCCCGCAGCGGCCCAGACAGATGCCCAGCTTTGTCTGGTTCTGTTTTCAGTGTCCCCATTCCCAGCTCCATACTAAGTCAGTTCCCAAAGCAGAGCAAAAGATAATTTTGGAAAAAATGGAATAAAATGTTCTCGCTCTGTGTGAAAGGTAGAAAGAGAGAGATGAGAACTTGAAATATAACTCAAGTAACGGGCAACAGCCCTTTCCATTCCCATTCTGCTCCCTCGTTCCAAATGTAGACTTGAGGGGGCAGCCTGGTGGCATAGTGGTTAAGTTTGCATACTCTGCTTCGGCAGGCGGGGGTTCGCAGGTTCAGATCCCGGGAGCAGACCTACACACTGCTCATCAAGCCATGCTGTGGTGGCGTCCCACATACAAAACAGGGGAAGACTGGCACAGATGTTAGCTCAGGGACAGTCTTCCTCACAAAAAAAAAAGAAGATTAGATTAAATGTGGATGGCTGATCTCAACATTTTGGGCTAAATGCTCCTCTTGGGGATCTAAGGCAAATACTCAGGCTATTATTACTCAGCCCACATTGATTAGAACATCTGTGAGGAGTCAGGACACCAACAGAAGGCTGCCAGATTCTCCTCTCTCTCTAGCAAATAGCAAGGTGTTTGTTTTGTCCTTACACGTAAGTGACTGGGGATAATCACACAAGGACTTCTTGGCAACCTGTACACGGGGCTGCCACGGGTAGCAGGGGCTCTGGGCAACACCCAGGTCAAGATCTGCACTAAAGAAGATGGAAGATGGATGAAGGCAGCCCGCCCAAAGCAGCCAACCTTGGCTAGTAAACACAGACCTCTGGGACGATGCAGGGAGAGGTGGGGAGCTGGCGGGCTGTCCAGGATGCACCTAGGGAGCGGGCGGATGCTGAGGGACCCAGGGAGGTGACAGTGCCCTTTCTGAAGCATTTCTTCTTGTTCCTTCTCTCATCCGAAACTAGCACCTTCCTAGCCCCAAGTGGGCGAGAGGAGAAAGCATCCAGGACTTGTGTATCTTCCTCTCGACACGCAGCACAAGCAAAGTGAGGATGTGACATAAATACGACACAGTGGCTGAGAGGAGGCGCCTGGATCCGGATCTCGGATCTCCACGTTCTCGCTGGCTGACCTTCGGCCAGTGACTTAAATCGTTCAGAGCTCCCATTTCTTTATCCGTAAATGGAGAAAAGAAATTGTCTGCCTCTGTGGGTTGTTGTGTTAAATAAAATGAAACCTACGAAGCGTGGATTCAGTTGCCAGCCCAGCACGTAGGAAGCGCTCGACCAAGGTGAATTACTGTCACTGTTGTAATTCACACCATTATAATGTAACCAAGAGCCTCGCTGATTTTTGCCGATTTAAATATCTGAAACTTTGAAGCAGTTATGCACGTGGCTATTTGTGATTTCGAAAACAAAGAAGCATGATAAACTCCTCAGGGAGCGTCTCGTGCTGTGTGCTATATTCACCCCAGGGCATATTTGTGCGCTTTGTCATTTTGGCCAAATACTTAATACTCGTTTCTCTCCCAGCTTCGCACCAAATGTAGCAGCTCCCCTTGCAAGTTACCACCGCAACATCACTGTTACAAAAGTTACATTTTATCATCAGCCTCCTTTCCCTTCTCAGAAATCCCCTCCTTCCCCGAGACCTCAGAGTGAGTATAGTACATTCTCTCTCATAAATCGCTTGACAGAGGTGATGAACACAGACTGCGTTTAGGGCCATCCTTCTCGGCGAGACAGAAAGCTGGTGAGTTTCTTGAATTCCCCATAAGGAGATCCTTTCTGCTTTCTGTTCTTTGCTACAAGTTTCTGGGGTTGGCATCATTAAACTGCTGGCTTTGCCAATCCCTCCTCCAGCACTGTTCAGATGGGTGATGGCACCGTAATGTTCTCCACGAGTGCCTGCAAGGGAGGCTGACGCAAACCAGGCGGCACCGGCTGCTGGGGAAGGCGTGGAGGATTTTCGCCCAAAGCAGGGTTTGCCTTGGCAGAAAATGACCTCCCAGCATCCTTCAAGACCTAGGGTATGTCTGACCCACACAGTCAGAGGATGAAGAGCTGGCCGGAAGTGGTGTCTCTTTTCCCCCTGTCAGAATTCATCCTATAGAAATATACATGTCCAGAAAGGTACACGGCCACACGAACACTGTGCACCAACGTTCACAGCAGCACGATTCATCACAGCCCCAAAGCAGAACCAGCTCAAGTGTCCATCAGCCGATGAAACACAACGTGGTCCATCCACACACTGGAGCACGATGCAGCCGTGAAGAGGAACGAGGCCCTAACACAACTCCACGTGGACGGACCTGAACACATGTCGCTCAGGGAGAGAAGCAGACACAGAAGGACACACGGTGTGTGATCCCATTGACGTGAAACATCCAGAACAGGCAGATCCACAGACAGAGAGTGAGCTTGTGGGTGCCAGGGGCTGGGGAGGGGGTGGGGATGATGCTGATGGGGATGGGGTTTCTTTTTGGGGTGATGGAATGTTCTAGAGTTAGATAATGGTGATGGTTGCACACTCTGTGGATATATAGTCATGCGCTGCCTAACGATGTTTCAGTCAGTGACAGTCCGCATACACGACGGAGGTCCCATAAGATCAGCACCACACAGCCTAGGTGCGCAGTAGGCTGTGCCATCTAGGTTTGTGTAAGTGCACTCTCTCATGTTCACACAATGATGAAATCGCCTAACGATGCATTTCTCAGAACATATTCCATCGTTATCGATGCACGGCTGTACAAAAAAACCACTGAGCTGTACACTTTAAATGGGTCAGCTTTATGGTATGTAAAATATCTCAATAAAACTATAAAAAAAAAAGATATACGGACAACATATCCCTGGTGGCGTTATTTGAAGTCACAAAAAATTGGAAACAAATGTTTATCAATAGGAAAATTGTTAAATAAATTATGGTGCATCCTTCCTGCATAACTACGATGCCATTAAGAAGAACGAGGGACATTCTTCAAGGAAGATCTTCAAGATATTCAGTTCCTGGCACATAAAGGCTCTCAAATATTTGAAAAATGAAATTATGTAAAAAAATGCAGCTATGTATGCTATAAAATAGGTAAATTCATTAAAAACGTCTAGAATTACAGGTTAACAGTTTACGTCTTGGAAGCCGAGGAAGACTGGAAGATGAAAGAAAAACTTTCATTTCTTCACGGACTTCTGTAGATGACGATCTTTTATGGGATCGAGTCTCTTGTAACACTTCTGTATCGTTTAAGAAATTGTGTTACATTTGTAAGCACTGGAAGGCATGTCAGTTCTTGTAAATTTGCACACGGCGCCTGGAGGATGCTGTTGGCACAGGGAAAAGCGCTACTGCTCACCTCACTTGGTCCACGCCACGCTGCCACTCCTAGGACCAGTGGATTTAATATTAATCCAACATCAAACATTAACATTGACCGAGAAACCAACTGGTACATTCGTACGACGCCACAATAAAAAGAGAAAACGAATGATGCCCACAACAGCATGAGGAACCACAACAGCGTCGCCGAGGCAAAGAAGCCAGTCTCGAAAGCTACACGCTTACGCCTCCACTTACGTGACCTCCTGGAGAAGGAGACACTACAGCGACAAGGAGCGGAGCTGGGTGGCCAGGGGTAAAGGGTGGGGCGAGGGTCTGGCTGCAGTTCAAGAGAATGCGCTGGGGGTTGGAACCCGCTGCTGCCCTCTTGGCGGTGGTGGTTACAAGAATCTACGCATGTGCGAAAACTCACAGAACAGGCCACCCCAAAATTTGGGGACTGCGACTGGATGTAAATGTAAACAATAAATAAAAAGGAAGAAACTGCATTTACTGAGTGCCGGGGCTATGCTAGGTGCTGAGCATTCAAAGGTGAACAACTCAGAGGAAAGCCTTGCTCCTGGGGCACTGACACCCTCGTGCAGCGGAGTCAGATAAGAAACCAGTCACTAAATATAAGGTTATTGCAGAGAGATCTGGGCCAGGACAAAAGAGTTAGAGGACAGAGCTGGGGCAGTGGTGGAGGAGCTCCCGATCTCTCGACAGACCGGTTAAAGTGTCGTGAGGATGGGACTAACCTGAGACCTGATCAGAGGAGGGGCCAGACATGGGGAGATGCGGGAGAGAGCACTGCCAGCACAGGAAATAGCAGGTGCAAAGGCCCTGTGGCAGAGGAGGGCAGGGGGTCTGGAGATGTCAGAGGAAGCCCTGAGGGCACGGCCAGAAGTCCGGACTTTATTCCAATTCCTGAGGCAAGCCCTGGGTGGGGGCACAATATGATCTGACTTACGTTCTTAAAAGAGCACCCTTTTTTAAACTACTGGAAGAAAAAGCAAAAGCAGAAAAACCAGAGAGCAAGCTCCCATGGCATTTATTTCTTTAAGATTTTAATAATAATTAATGCTTCTTAAGTTCTTAATTGAGCTTCTTAAGACCTATATATGGAAGCTGGGCATGAAATACAGCGTTTTATAAAGAAGTAACATTCCGCCCAGTAAATGAAGGGTTAACTAATTAAGCATTTAGCTAACATGAAAATAAACGACGGCTTCTACAGTTTCCGTCAGGTAATTATACACTTAGCAAGCCATCACGGCCCACAAGCATTAGCTTGCTTATTAATTCAGGGTTAATTGTCCCTATTGACTTATAAATGCCGTTAGCCAAAAACTAAATAATTTACGAGCGTACGCTCGTTTTGTAAAAGGTGCATTAAAAAGTGGCCAGAGGAAACGGACTAGACGTGGATCTGTAGTTTGGTTATAGTTACTCACTGTTAGGGATTCATACAATAAATCAATTTTTATCAGGGGTTGGTAAATTTATTCTATAAAGGGCCAGAGAAGAAATGTTTTTGGCTTCATGGGTCTAAGGTCTCTGTCGCGATTACTGGACTCTGTCGCGCTTCTAGAAAGCCATCCTGTACATAAGGAATGAGTGTGGCTGCCTTCAGAGCCCTCTAGGAGCCTCGAGCAAAGGAAAAAAAACCAGCAATACTGATCCTGTCTTTAAAATTTTGATATTTTGCTTATTATGGATTTTGGGGGGCATTTATTTGGATTTTAAAAACACTGCATTAAAATATTACTTATCTGGATGGCTGAGTTTTTTTGGCACCCTCCCTCCTTAAACTTTGTGTCTAAGTCGAGGGCATCCCTGGGTCTCGGGCCTGGAGCCATTCCAATAAAACTATATTTCTGGATATTGAAATTTGATTTTCATATAATTTTCATGTGTCATGAAATAGTCTTCTTTTGATTTTTTTCCCAACCATTTGAAAATGCAAACAATATTCACACTCCTGGGACCTTTAAAAAGCACACAGCAGCCAAATTTGGCCTCCCCCCCCGGCCCAGGGCTAGAGTTTGCTGACCTGTGTTTTAGACAGCTGTTGAGGAAGCAAGGCATACTCATCTTTATATTCGCAGAAAAATATCTGCCATCAAGTAGGCACTCAAACGACATGGCATAAATTAGTCCCATTGTCTCCTTTTTGAAATTCCCGCTAAGATTGCTTATCACTGTCTTTTCATCCCCAGGCCCCCGAGTGCACCAGCACGCATGCCCAGAGCACCCCAGACCTCTCTGGCTAGAATTCCAGTAGGCCTGTGAAGACCAGAAGTTTGTGCAGGAAACCCCTGATGCGCAGACCCGGCCCTGTCTGCCTCGTGCTTTCCCTTCCAGCAAGCACCATCGACTCAAAAGCGTAATTCTCCCCAGGGAGGGTGTGGAAGATACAGGAGTCAACGGCACATCGTTCGCCTGGTCCACGAGCGCAGACAAGGCAGATTTCAGTGCCTTTGCTCAACGCTGATCCTGGGATCCAGCAGGAGCGGTGGGACTTAGGAAATCTAAACTCTGAAAGAATGTGCCTCCTGTAATGTAATGCTGGGAAATACAAGCGGGGTGAAACATTTATTATTATTGTTAATTGTGGCAAAATATATGTAACACAAAAGTTACTTTTAAGTCATTTTTAAGAGCAGAGTTCAGTGGTATTAAATACATTCAGATGGTTGTGCACCCATCCCCCCCATCCATCTCTGGAACTTTTGTCATCTCCCAAAACTGAAACTCTGTCCCCATTAAATATTCACTCCGCATTACCGATCCCCCAGTCCCCGGTCCCCACCCTTCTACTTTCTGTCTTGATACATCTGACTGCTTGAGGGACCTCCTATGAGTGGATCACACAGCAGTTGTCCTGTTGTGACTGGTTATTTCACTGAGCAGCATGTCCTCAAGGTTCATCCACGCTGGACCATGTGTCAGACTTTCCCTCCTTTTTAAGGCTGAATAAGATTCCGTTGTCTGGATGGACCATGTTGTGTTTACCCATTTATCTGTCGATGGACACTTGGGTTGCTTCCATCTTTTGGCTGTTGCGAACAACGCTACTACGAACGTGGGTGGACAACGTTCAAGTTTCTACCTGTTCAGGTTTCTAGGTATACACCCAGAAGTGGAATTGCATAGGTTAAGTCTGTGTTTAATTCTTTGAGGAACCACCATAGCGGCTCCACAGCGGCGGCACCATTTCACATTCCCACTAGCAGGGTGCAAGGATTCCAATTTCTCCACATCTTTGCTGACATCTGTTATTTTCTGTAGCTTTTTTTTAGGTGTGTAGTGTTACCTCATTGTGGTTTTGATTTGTATTTCTTAATGATTTGTGACCTTGAGCATCGTTTCATGTGCTTACTGGCCATTTGTATATCTTCTTTGGAGAAATGTCTATTCAAATATTCTCCTGTTTCTTAACTGGGTTGTTTGTTTTTGCTGTTGTTGAGTTGTAGGAGTTCTTTATATATTCTGGGTACTAACCCCTTATCAGTTATATGATTTGCAAACATTTTTTCCCATTCCATGGGTCGCCTTTTCACTCTGTTGATGGTGTCCTCTGATGCACAAAAGTTCATTTTCATGAAGTCCAATTTATTTTTTTTGTTATTGCCTCTGCTTCTGGTGTCCTATTCAAGAAATCATTGCCAAATCCAAAGTCATGAAGATTTTCCTCTATGTTTTCTTCTAAGAGTTTTATAGTTTTAGCTCTTATATTTAGGTCTGATCCATTTTGAGTTGATCTTTGTATATGGTGGAAGATAAGGGTCCAACTTCATTCTTTCTTTCTTTCTTTCTTTTTTTTTTTTTGGTGAGGAAGATTGGCCCTGAGCTAATATCTGTTGCCAATCTGCCTCTTTTTTTCCCTCTTCCCTAAAGCCCCAGCACATGGTTATTTGTCCTACTTGTACGTCATTCTAGTTCTTCCATGTGGGACGCTGCCACAGCATGGCTTGATGAGCAGTGCTAGGTCTGCACCCAGGATCCAAACTGGTGAACCCCAGGCCACCGAAGAGAAGCATGAACTTAACCACTTAGCCATGGGGCCGGCCCCCCCAACTTCATCCTTTGCAGGTGGATATCCAGTTTCCCAAGATCATTGTTGAAAAGAAACAAATGGCACCCTTGTTGGAGTAAAATACTATAAACAAGTAATTAAAGGTAAGTAACAACATTTGAAGATCTAACCTTACCAGAAAGGGCACCCCAAACGTGCATTTTTGAAAGAACCTGACATAAATTAGATAAGTTATATTTTTCCCATCAACGGAAATGGACACGCCTGTGCCTCGCTCTCATTCCTGTTTTCAGTGATGACTTCCTTTCTTTCACTTTCAAACAGAATTTCTGCGTGGCTGACACACACCCCTCTACAGAGACACAAGTGCCACCTGAGGACTCCCACCTTTTCTGTTTACTACAAAGGGTTAGAATTTCACCTAATTTAGCCCTTCTATTTTGAAAACCTCAAGAAAACCTGGAAAGTGGTTTAAACTCTGCAACGTGCCCATTTCTGGCTATGGCAGGATCCTATAACCGGGTCCGTGGATTCACGAGGGCGCACTTGGTGAGGCCGTGAACCTGAACTTGAACACGGAGTTCAAGTGGAGGCGCATGTGTCTATGCTGTCCTTCCGGGAAGACATTCCCACCTTCTGCAGCCTCTGAAGGACGTCCGGACTGATGAAAGGTGAGGGACCACCAAGCTACAGTGGCATGTATGTTTTTTAAACTCAAGTTACCAATTCAAGGACTCCATTTAGACAAGCCTCATTGCATAATCCAGGCAGGTCTTCAGAGGAAAGTGGCACAATTAATTCACTTCCTGGAAGAGAGGCAGACGGGTGGCAGTGGGCCCCCATCACACGTGGCAGAGACGTGGGGCCAGGCGGGATGGTCACAGAAGTGGAGGGGACACACGCCCCAGCTTTAGCGGGGAGCCACAGTCTGGAAGCAGCTAAGTCTCTCTCCCTCGACCCCGTATTTAGGAATCCAAACAGTCCAGGAAGAGATCGTGTGGAATATTAACGATTCCTTCAATGACCATCTTGGTGATAATTAACCCACAGGCCACTAAACCCAGGAATGCTGCAGATTGAGGAAACCGAAGAGAGAAACATCTTCCAGCAGGGAATAAAGAGAAGAGACAAGTTGCAGATTTTTATAACAGGCACCCCAACTGAACCAAGGAAATGTACCTAATTTGCCATCCTTGGTGGCTAACATTGGTCAGCCCCGTGGCCCCAGGATGGAGGTGGGGCCCACATCCATGCTCATCCCCGAGAAGCCTGGTGCCCGTTCTATACCTCCCTGGGGATGAGCGGTGTTCCCTGGCAATGTCACAATTCGAAGAAACTCAGCGACAACAAACAATTTCAAAGCCACGCGGAATTCATTTAAAGCAGGATTTTGGCTCAATACCAAAGGGCTGAGATGATGAGTCAGCTTTCTTGATCTCTAAACACTGATTTTTTTCCTTATTGATTATTTCTTCTGTGTCACTGTCACAGTGGTGTTCCAACACCAAGACGACTGCTACAGGAGTTGCTTTTCCCACCCAGAGCCCGTCTTCTCACGCCATCACCTGTAGCCGTAACTAACTTCAGAAATCACGCCCGGAGGCCACGATCAGGACACCAGATTCCAGAGCTGGTCTGACCTACTGAGAGGAGGGGATAGCCCTTGAGTGCCCGTCACCCAGGGTTGAGGGATGGAGAGCCAGAGAGCAGAACGAAGAGGAACCGATGCTCCTGGACTGCAGGGCACCAACGTCCCACCCCGGAGCGTTGGTCTAAACCTCACCAGGCTCTCTGGGGCCTGAGGGAGAGAGGAAAGCCACAGCGAGAAAGGCCGGGGAGCTGTGGGATGAAAATTTTTTAAAAAGGTGCCGTCTCCCAGACATGAAAAGGCAGAGGGAATTCAGCCTGCAAGATGGATGTGGCCAGACAAAGAGTCCTTTAATTACAGCAAACAGGAGAAGATACTAAAGTAAATATTACTCCTCTTGCCCTTAAAGGAAGAGAAAAATAACGTTGAGCATCACTGAAGAGTAAGGAAGTCACAAACCTCCAGCGCTGCATTGACATACACGTGACATTACGCTGAGAGCTGGTCAGATACAACCAGTACTGTGCGTTAGACCAGCGCTTGGCAGATTTTTTCCAGAAAGGGCCCGTTTTGGGCTTTGCTGCTCAGATGGTCTCAGTGGAGACCACTCAACTCCATCGTAGGGCAAAAGCCGCCACAGATAATATGTACACAAATGAGTGCGGCCCTGTGCCAATAAAACTTTATTTAGGGACACTGAAATGAGAAGTTCATACCATTTCATGTGTTCCAAAATATTATTCTTCCATTCATTTGTTTTCAGTCATTTAAAAATGTAAAATACAGCTCTTAGCTCTTGGCTGGACAAACTCAGGTGGTGGGTTGGATTTTCTCATGGGCTAGTTTGCTGACCCTGTCCTAGCCTCAAATTGTTGGCCTCATGACTCTAAAAGGGAGCTTAAAATAATTCTGGATAAATAAATGAACAGGTATCGAACAGCCCACGTAACTATAAATAACATTCTAGAAATCTCTGTGTCCTGAGGGTCAAGGACGTTCTGAGTGAGGATGGGGGCCGACATCCCTGTCACGTCGCCCTCCTAGAGACGAAGATGCAGGTTTTCTGGAAGTTTCTGAACAGGGCGTGCTCACCGGCCAGCGCTGGAGTCATGTCACAAGGAAGAGAGAAGACAGCCGTCAGGTCCTGTGGATCCTGGTCCCGCTCCCCTTTGTCCCCTGTGTAGTTCTGACACGTGCCCTGCACCTCCACAACTCAGCGTCTTTGGGCATTTCACCAAGAGAAACTTGTGGATGCAAGAAAATTATAAAAGATGACACCATTGAACAGACATTTCTCCCAAGAAGGCCTGCAAACGGCCAATAAGCACATGAAAAGATGCTCCACATCGTTAGCCATTTGGAAAGGGAAATTAAAAGCCACAGAGAGACTCCACTTCACACCTACGAAGTTGGCTACAATAAAAACAAGGGAAAATGACAAGTGTCGGCGAGGACATCGAGAAACGAGCCCTCCTCCACCGCTGGTGGGACGAAAATCGGGGCAGCTGTGTTCCCTTGTGGAAAACATTCGGCAGCTCCTCAGGAAGTGAAACGTGGGGTGACACATGACCCAGCACTTCCACTCTGAGGTGTGTCCCCAAGAGAAATGAAAACCCATGTGCACACAAAGACTTGTCCACAAAATGTCCACTGCAGCATTACTTAGAATAGCCGAAAAGTAGAAACAACCCAAATGTGCATCAATAAATGAACGAACAAACAAATTGTGGTACACACATACAAGAAAATACTACTCAGCCATAAAGTGGAATGAAGCAGCGACACCCTACGACATGGGTGAACGAAACACACGATGTTCAGTGGAAGAAGCCAGTCGCAAAAGGCCACGAATTGGATGATTCCATTTATAGGAAACGTCCAGAATTGGCAAATCCATAGAGACAGAAATTAATGGTTGCCAGGAGCTGGGGGAAAGGGAAGGGGAGAACGACTGCCAGTGAGCACAGGGTTTGTTTTGAGGTGACAGAAAAGTTCTAGAATCATATAGTGATGAT